AGGGGAAATCTGAGGGAAAGTGGAGCTGAAGAGTTCAGGTGATGTTAAAGCTTCATGTTTGCCTCTATGTGTCCCTACAGGAAACTGCTGCTCTCCCCCTGTATTCCCTGCAGCAGCGCCATCTGCTGTCCAACCAACTAACTGCACCCATCAACCCTTCCTGTCTGGTTCTGGAAAACATCATCTGTCCTGCTGCTCTGCTGGAATCAGACATGAATCATGGTGGAAAGTTCAGATCTCTGCAGGAAGGAACTAAAAGATCCTCTGAACTGAACGCAGTCAGGAAAAGATTCAGGAATCTGGGAATTGTGACTGTAACCTACCTTAACACTGACCTCCTAGAGCGCCCCCTGGAGGATCTTCTCCATTACTGCTTCACTAATGGAGGAGTGAAGCAGTAATGGACCCAACTCTGATCTTTTGGTCCAGATCAGTGTTGTCTAATCACTAGTTACATTTACTTGAGTAACTTTTTGGGGAGAAAATACTTTAGGAGTATTTTTACTGTGATGTACTTTTTACTTTAATTCATGGATTCTCCACGTCTGGTCCACATAGACCAGATGTAGGTTGACAAGAAGCTTCACTGAATTCATGGACCTTCATGCTGCTGCCAGCCTGAAGGAGTCAACTGACCTCTGACCTCTGCTCTCCCCTGAGGAATCCAGGGCTGAAGTCTGGGAGACGTTCAGACCAGAGCTTCCAGAGATCCCAGTCTGATGATCCACAGCTTCTCCAGTGATGGTGAGGATCTGCTGCAGACCTTCATCATCCTCCAGAAGATGAAGGGCAGATCTTCTTATGAAGAGACAATTTCTACCAGGGATGAAGACCTGCTCTTCTGAGACCAAGACCGAGTGTTGAGAACTGTGATAAATATTTCAGAACATCACTTTCTGTTCACCACAAAATGGAAAAGTTAATGGAAAGACGGTTAATTACTCAACCTAAACCACTTGGTATTAAACTAAGAAACTTCATAATAAACTACTACAGTTACTAAATGGAGCCATGCATTCATATACATTTTCTAACAATTAATCTGCTTACACACTGCATAATAATTGTATAATGCATTAAAGAAAGTAGTGAGAGATTTGTCATTTAAAAAATATTTTTCTATATAAGATCATCTGAATAAAAGCAGTTCATCAGAGTATCAGATATTAAAAACACATCCTGGGCAAATCAAAAAATTAGACAATTTAACATGGGCTAATAATTATTATTATTAGCTAATGGTATAACTCACAAAGGGGGAATCCCAAAACCATCAAAACCAGTAGATCAGTGGGATTAACAGAAATCATGTAGCCAACAGGGATGACGCAGATTACAGCAGCCAAGTGGAAATATTTTCTCTAGTACAGATTATGACGGTAAAACATTAAAGGCGGGACTGAATTTATGGTTTTGGCTTGATGTGCCTTATTTATTCATCAGCAGCTGTTTCAGTGTCTGGTCTCCTCATTGTGCCTTAATTTAAAAAGTTGCTTCTAAAGACAGTGTTGCACTGGTGTTGATGTTTTTACATTATGTTCTCACTTTTGCCCAAAGATTGATTAGTTAGTAAATTAGGAATTTTTACTAACTTTTCCTTGTCCCTGTAGATGTGAACTAGAAATCGTCCTGCTCACTTTGCATCCAGTGGGCAAAATTTACAATATGTGACACGTGTTACATGTGTGTTGGCTGGAAGTGAACACACAGAGGCGTTCTTCCAAATCAAAGGACCAAATCCTGTCTGGTGGTGTAAACATTCACATACATCAAGATTTAGGAGAGTTAAGTTTTTGTAATTTTGACCAAAACTATTGAGTCTTGAACCAGCCTTGATCCGGTTTGTTCAATGAGACAAAGGAGGAATAACAATCCAAGACCAGGAAAATAAACAGGTCAAGACCGGTTTTGAGCCCTCCATACCAGACTTCTACTTGTCCTTGTTTCCATGGGAACGGTCCCCGTGGAGTGCTGCCATAGTCGGGTCCAAAGATGGAACCATCTGGTCTCCTCAGATCTGGACAGCAGCAGCTGACCTTTAAGGTGATCAGCTGGACTTTGAGAAGTGGATGGATGAAAGTTGGCCCGGTTCCTAGAGTTAGAACCTTGTTCTGATGGTTCTACTTAACGGGTTCTACTGATCCACAGATCAACAAAACTAGGCAGAGATGAAGAAAAAGCCCATTTGGTTCTGTGTAGTTTGACCCGGATGCAAAAATCTGATTGATTGTCTCCACCAGCAGAAGGTTCAACTTTCTTTATTTCAACATTTCATAAGAATAAACTGAACCGTTCAGGTGGGAAATAAAACAAATGCTGAAAGCGGAAAAAAAAAAAAACCTCACCAACATATTTTCAGGAGCATATTTCCAAACTCTGCTCAGTAAGAGGCTCCATCTGGTGGCTGAACAGGAAATGACACAAACAGTTCTGTCCATTTTCTGCCAGTGGCAGCATATCCATCATCATCTGCAACATTAGGGAACATTTTTCAACCATCCGGAACTTAGAACCATTAACAGGATCCAAACGTCACAAACGTGGAGCTGGAAGCAGCTCAGAAACACAAAGAGACCAGAACAACAGTCCAACTGGGACATCAACTCAGACCCTGGAGCACAGATTAAGTTTGAATCCCATTTTCTACCCTGGATTAGCAAGAAGTGGGAAGGTCCACTATTTACTGAGACATGGAAGTGGGCGGAGCTTTCAGCCCAACATGATGTTCATTCTGATGTATAAAATCCACGAGAAATCAATGAAATATTTCTAAATCAAGAAACAACCAGGTTTAGTCTGATATTCTTTCATTTCATTGCCAGATCTTCTCAAACATAGACAATTGTGAAACTGATTAATTTCACTGGTCAAATATTTGATTGTCTCAAGAAGAGCAAAAGCACTGATGTGTCAGTTGTCATGGATTCTGATGGGTCATGTTTGAATCTTAAGCAGAAGAAAACGATGTGAACAGAGATCTGCTGCTGCTTGATGACCGCTCCCAGAACATTTACGGGTCCTTCACAAGTTCTGCTTCTGTGCCAGGACTTTGGACACTAATGAAGCGTCTGGGACTAGAGTGAAGGACACAGAGATAGAGACCAATATGGACACAGGTACAGAGGACGCATCGAGAAATGGGATTCAGACCTTTCAAAGTAAGAGCTTTGAGCTGCATTAACAAACTCAGAGATGTTCTCCATGAGGAAAATCTTCTGTTTCAGCAGCCATTGTAACTAATCTCTGCTGAATCTGAAGCTGGTTCTGTTGGTCCCCCCTCCAGAACCAGCTGACCCAGTTCTGGTGTTAGCTACCGTTAGCTCTCTAGCTACCTAAACATGGCATCAACAGGGAGAACCAGAAACTTCTAATTATGAAACATGTCAGTAACAGCTGAGTGATTTTTAAAGAAAGCATAATGATGGGAATGCTCCCTGGTAACATGACATTAAAGGTCAAAGGTCAGGGTTTGCTGGAAAAGGAGGATTAACACTAGAAATGTGAACTCTGAAGTCTGATCTGAAGGTTTTGAATGTTCAGGATGACTTCAGGGACGTTTCCTGAAGCTGGTAAAGTGAAACCTTCCCCTCAGTCTGCTGAGCTTCAGGTTGCCTTCACTGACCTCACATTTGGAACTTTGAAGCTTTTTCTTCGTTGACGTTTCTCCCAGAACCGTTTGGTTCTCCACCATCACTGGGCTGAGAAGCAGCTCCTTTTGTGCTGCTCTGCTTCAAAAGCCACAAACATATAGAGACAGAAGAAGTCATGGTTCCTGGAACGTTTTAGTCATGGCACTAACATTTGACTAAAACTCTCAGCTAAGGAGAACTTCTATCCTGAACAGCTTCAGATTCATGAGTTATAATAAAATAATCCAGAAAAAAGGGTTCTATAGTTCAGAACTAGCCAGATCTTCACCAACCTCACAGTGAATCCTCCATGTCCTCTAGACTGCTGGTTTGCTGCTGTGAGTCTTCTTATGTCGTTTTAGATAACGGGACAGTTTGAAAGTCTTCCCACACTGCTCACAGCTGTATGGTTTCTCCTCAGAGTGGGTCTTCTGGTGGGCTCTGAGGCGGTCAGTTCGGCTGAAGACTTTCCCACACTGCTCACATTTGTATGGTTCATCTCCAGTGTGAATGCGGTGATGAGCCACTAAGGATATTTTCCGGATGAAGAGTTTCCCACAGAGACCACAGCAGTATGGTCTTCCTCCCCTGTGGATGATCTGATGTGCTTTCAGCTGGTCCCACTCAGTGAAGGTTCCCCCACATGTATCACAGGAGAACCTTCTGTCAGTGTGGAGGAAGCTGTGTCTTTTTAAGTTTCCTTCATGACTGAATGATTTTCCACACTCCCCACACCAAAATGATTTAACTCCAGTGTGAACCCTCTGATGTCTTGTGAGATTTGATTTGGTGTGGAAAGCCTTCCCACACTGTTCGCAGATGAAGCATCTCCCCTGAACATGAAAGCTCTGATGGGTTTTTAACTTGTGTCTTGTTGTGAAACACTTTCCACATTCTTCACAGTTGTGGGGTTTAACTCCAGCATGGAGAAGCTGATGAGTTCTGAGGTTAGTCTTAAAAATAAAACCTTTTCCACACTCATTGCAGACAAATGGCTTCTCAGCAACGTGGAGGAGGAGATGTTTCTTTAAAGAGGTGCTTACTATGAAACATTTTCCACACTTGTCACATCTGTAGGGGTTTAATCCACTGTGAACCATCTGGTGGTCTCCAAAGTGAAGACGGTTTGCAAAGGTTTTCCCACACTCATTGCAAGAGTATCGTTGTGGTTTAGTGTGTAATCGTTTATGGGCATTCAGGTTTAGAGAATTTCTATAAGTCTTTCCACACTGATCACAGGGGAGCTGCTTTTCTAGGTCTCCTGAGTGGGTTCGCTTATGGAAATAAATGCTTGATTTATGACTGAACGTTTTTCCACACTGGTCACATCTGAAAGGTTTTTCTCCAGTGTGGACAACACTGTGGGCTGTGACTTGTTTTTCTGTGCGGAAGCTTTTTCCACAATCATAACAGCTGTATGACTTATTCCCACTGTGGATTTGTTCATGAGTCTTTAAATCCCTTCTGAGTCTGAAAGACTCTGAACACGTCTCACAGGTGAATGCCTTAACCCCACTGTGGATCAGCTGATGTTTTTTTAGGTCAGTGAAAGAGATGAAATCTTCCCCACACTTCTCACAGCTGCATGGTTTCACCTCAGAGTGACTATTCTGTTGCATTCTGAAGATCTTTGCAGAGGAAACAGATTTCCACACCGGCTACAGACCTTTAATGATGTATTTTTGTTGTTGTTCTGAAAGTTCTGAGGTTTCAGTACATTCCAGCTCTGATGTTCCTATAGAGACAAAGACAAGAACATGAGCGGATCCGATCAATGGGATGAAAGTTTTCTTTACGGTTTCTTAAATCTTTAATCCATACTGAAAAAGTCTTGTTTGCAGGTTGATTAAGGAGTTAGAATATCTTGGTGTGAATGTGTACAGTTACAGTTATGTTATAAGAAAAAAGGAACAAGTAAGGCATCTAATATGTGTGAAGAGGTAGCCAACTGATCCCAGTATCAACACTGAAAAAAGGTAAAGCATGTGAGACACACCAACACCAAGAATGCACTTTGAGACAGTTCTCTAGAGGAGAATCATGAGTCTGAACAAGATCTGGCCCAGCAATAACCTGTTCAAAGTCAAATGTTGATAAGTCATAAAATCACAATATCAACATGTATATTAAAATCAACAGAAACAAGAACAGAATCAAAATCTATAGTGTCTTTAGAAAAAGGTTCAGTAAATTCAATTGAAAAACTAGTTTTAAATCTTAATAAACATTAATTACTGCAGGAGAAGCTAAGTAATCAAATGCACAGGAGGAACCAAGTAAGACATACTTTTGTAATATAAACTATGCAAGAATATGGCAGCAACACCAGCACCTTTCCTATCAGGCATTAGATAACATACAAATAAAAAGTTTAGCAGAAATGCTTAAGTTAGGCATGGCAGCCATTTTTACAACACATGGAAACATTCAGGATGAGTACCCCATGGTAACCAAACCACTGCTATTTAGCTGTAAAGTGAACAGATTTTTGCATTTTCATTTGTCATACTTTTTTGTATATATATGTTTTTTATTTTCTGTCTCATGTTGGGGTTTTATATATTAAAGTGTACAGTGTTGTATAAACCTGGAATACTGTAAAGAATGCACTGTGGAAATTGTTTTTTAAGAGATGCTTCAGTTAATTTAATTTGACCTCTATCCTCAAGTAAAGTGTCAAGTAAAGACACTTGAGGTTTATAATTTGTGATGAAGGTGTATTATTAATGGGTCAAACAATAAAAATGTAAAACTTAAATAAGTTGTCTAGTTGAAACTGGCTGGAAACGACACACCAAACAGCTAAAGCATCAGAACTTCATCAGCGCCCATCTAATAACGTTTCCAATAGTTTATAAGACAAACTAAAGGAACCACTGACAGACAATTCTTACTTTCATATTTCACACAATCTGTAATTTTCGCGCCTGTTAGCCTAGCATGCTAACTTAACTTCCAGCTGCTGAGAAACTCTCTGAAGCAGCTTTCCAGCCATGCTAGAAGGCAAACTAGCTAGTGATTCTCCAGCAACTGTTTAGCTGCTGTAATGAAAGTTCATTTCTCCAAAAACTCACATCTTCTCTGAACTTCAGTTTTCTCCAGCCGAAGTGAGGGAATCCTTCAGCAGCCAAATATCTCTACTCAAGCTAAGGTTAGCATGGTGGGCTACCTTTGGACGAGTTCAGCTAATGAACTGAGGCTGGAACTTTCTTCTTCTTCTGATGGTGTAAAACGGCGGTTTGCAGATCAACCACACCGGTGCAATACCGCCACCTACTGAAGTGAAATGTGGAAAGGAAACTGCAGAAGAAATAAAACTAATTCACATTTCTTTATCAAATATATATATATATATATATATATATATATATATATTTTTTTTTTTTATTATTTTCTTTGTATTTGTAGACAAATAAGTTGTCTAATAACCCCTCCTGCTCTCACTACTTTCATTCTTCTTCTCGTTTTATTGGTGGTTGGTAAACCAACTCAGCCGCCACCTACTGGGCTGCAGAGGAAATTAACAGAAAAAATAAAAAGTTTCTTTATAAAAGATTTTTTTTTCAAAAATGACATGACTTAATTTTCTGTTTTAATCATTTTAATAATAAAACTTATTTAATCGTTATTAATGATTGTTTTGTATTCAGACTCAATGGAATCTTTTTAGTATGTTCTATTTACTTGGTAATGCCATTGCGATTCAATCGGTGGAGGAGGCCTGGTGCCTCTCCAGCAGTCACTGGGTGAGGTGGAGAACACGCTGGACGGGTCACCGGTTCATCACAGGGCAACTCAGAAACATATGAAGGTTTTTAGGATCCAGCAGATTTAAAATCTGCAGAATTTAATCAGAAATGATTCAGAAACTGAATCCTTCATCTCTGTATAAATATAAAACATTTAATAATTAGTGCAGCAGCTCAGTTCAGCAGGTAAAGTCTTTATAAAGTCTGGATGTAGGTTCTGAATCTGCTCCTCCGGGTCCGGTAGAGAAAGCAGCTCCAGCTCTCTGAACCCGACCAGAACCAGAATATCTGCAGAGGATCAGGCCACAGCAGGGATGAAATACTGCAGAGAAACGTCTTCATGCAGCAGGACGAGGTGGACCACGTTCTGATGGACAATATCTGAGGAGACAACAAGCAGGGACACTTTAACTGCTTTGCAGGATAATAGAGGCGGTTTCTATTCTATTCTATTCTATTCTATGTTCTGTTTTATGAACCCAGAGCTGCAGATAAAACTTTATGTTCATGAGGTTGTTGATGTTCTTCCATCATTTTCTGGTTTCCTGAATCAGCTGGTCTCATTCGCATCACTTCCTGTTTAGCTGCTGTTCCTGGAACAAGGACTCAGAAATAAATTTGTCTTCATGAGGACGGCTGAGGGACTCACTGCACAGGGCCTTGCTGGGGTTGACCTGCTGACCCATGAGGAACTGCTGCAGCTTCCTGATGTCCACCGTGACCTCTGCCATGACCTCTGGGTCTCTGCTCTGAGACGGACCTCCGTCCTGGGAGGAGACGTCGCCTGCAGAGACACAGGGACAGTCAGTGAGTCTCTGTCTTCTCTGATCCAATCAGATCACATCTAACCCTGAAGACAGAAGGTTCTGAAGAAACCAGAACCAGAACCAGGATTCAGTCTGGAGAGGAGAAGGCATCTTTTACCCCATGCAGGGTTCCCCAGGTCTTTGAAGTGAGTGGTGACAGAAACCAGGTCGGTCTGGATCTTCAGGTTCATGTCTCCGTTCAGGTTGGCCTCCATCACCTGAAAACACACAAACTTTCCTGAAAACGTTCGTTTTCCCCTCATCGAACCTCCGGATGAGGAGGAGAGACTCAGATTATAATCTGGGATAAAACGAGTCAGAAGGACAGAAAAAGGAGGAACAAGTGTTGCTTTTATAGGTTTGGTTCGAAATATTAAAGCTGCAGAATGAAATGAAACTGATCTGGTTCTGGTCTGAGCTCCACTGATCCAGACCATAATAACGTGAAGCAGCAGGTACTGGTTTTATTGGGACGTCGTCTAGGAGACCAATATGAATTCATATTTGACTGGTTTAAACCAGTATAAACCATTTTAGACTGGTTTCATCATAGTCAGATGAAACCAGTCGAACCAGACTGAGGCTCCATGAAGAGCTCTGATGCTGCAGCGCCATCTGGTGGCAGTTTGAGGGAAGGTTCTGACAGATGAACAGAACCGGGCTTTAACTGGACCTGGACCAGTCAGAGCTGGGAGTCCTACCAGGAAGTTAGAGAGGTTCTTCATCCTGTCCACCACACTCTTCATCGTCTTCAGAGGAGGAAGGTAAACGCTCACCTGGAGAGAGAAGACAAGACGATTTCACCAGAGAAGAAGAAGAAGAAGAAGAAGAACAACAACAACAACAACAACAACAACAACAACGCTGGGACTGAAAGACGACCCACAAGATCCTCACATCAAAGTCCGGAACGCCGGCTTCCTGGAATTCCTGCCAGAGCCTTCGAGGAATCACGTCAACGGGAACGTCGTGAGTGACGACTCTGCCGACGCTGGACAGGGTGGGCTGATGGGATACATGGAGGTCAGGGGTCAGAGCTCAGAGGTCATCGGACAAAACACTGAACTTCATTCACTCTGAAGAAACGATTCATCAAATTAGAGAGAAAGAGACAGAGGAGGGGTGCACTAACTTCTGAGCTACAGAGGAGGGGTGCACTAACTTCTGAGCTACAGAGGAGGGGTGCACTAACTTCTGAGCTACAGAGACCTACAGAGGAGGGGTGCACTAACTTCTGACCCAGAGTCGGGTCTACCCCAGCCTCTGGCCCGCAGCATCACAGAACCTCTGCCAGTCAGCTGCTGAATCCAGAGCTAGAAGATGATTGGGTCCCTGAGGAGCAGGAAGTGACAGCTGACGGGTCCCTGTGGGGTTCTGGTTCTGGATGGCTCTAAATGCTCATAGAACATCAGAACTGAACCAGAGTTCTGCTCACCAGCTCGGCAGCGACGGTCAGACAGGCGCAGTGCTTCCTGGTCAGCTTCAGCTTCACTGACTTGGCGGACTGGACCGTCTTCAGGGCCCGGCTCCAGGGTTCTGGACTCACCTCCAGGCAGATCTCCTGGACCTCAGAGGTCACGCCCTCCATCTGGTACTCCTGGAAGAAGTTGGCCTGCAGCAGAACAGAACCACAGATTCAGGCTGTGCGAGGTTTTCTCTCAGTTTCTGATCCTTTGGAGAAAACTTTAGCTTTACTGTTTAGCTTTGACCTCTGACCTCTGATGAAAGCCTCTGACCCAGTTGTTTCTACCAGAACCTTCCAGACTGATGATCTGCTGGTCGTGTTCAGCTCAAAGCTCTGCGGTTCCTTTGGTTGGAGTCAGAATCTGATTTTATTTCTGTCCCATTGGTATGGCAAGCAGTTTTAACATAAAATCAGTTTCAACACACTTACATTCCAGGTAAGTGGAACCGGTTTATGACTAGACTTATTAGAGAATTAATATATCTCTGATTAGTTGGTGAATAATCTGACTAGACAAAACATCTTTGAGATTTCTCTAATTACATTCTGACTAGTATAAATGAGGTCAGATTTACCATTGAGTTTTATATCTACAATTACTGATCTTAAACACCTTTTTCAAACACAGACAATTAAATTATGACTAGTTATGAAGAAAGTTCCAGATATCTCACTCTTTGTATTTTTAAATAGTAGTTAAATTTTACTAGTGAAAATTAAATAGCAGATATAATGAAATCAAATAATAAGTCAAAGCTTAATTAGATATCTGGGACACTGATCCACGCTTTTGTTTCAACTCGATTGGACTACTGTAACGCACTTTATCTGGGAGTCAGTCAGTCGCTGCTCTCACGTCTGCAGCTAGTACAAAATGCTGCGGCACGACTTTTAACAGGAACTCGAAAGAGAGAGCATGTGACCCCTGTCCTGGCCTCACTTCACTGGCTGCCTGTATATTTTAGGATTCATTTTAAAATTCTTATGTTTGTTTTTAAATCATTGCATAATCTTGCCCCGGCTTACCTCACTGAGCTTCTTCACCCCTACATACCCCATCGGTCTCTCAGGTCAGCAAATCAGCTGCTCTTGGAGGAACCGAGAACAAAAAGGAAGCTCAGAGGGGACAGGGCTTTCTCTGTTATGGGCCCCAAATTATGGAATGACTTACCTTTGCAGGTCAGAGAGGCCCCTTCACTGTCCACTTTTAAAGCTCGTCTTAAAACCCATCTATTTTACTTTCAACACCAGTGGGATTTAGTTTTAAATTGTATGTTTTTGTTTTTAAACTGTTTTTAATTACTTTTTATTATGTTGTGTTTTTAAATTGTACAGCACTTTGTATCAACTGTGGTTGTTTTAAAGTGCTTTATAAATAAAGTTGGTATGGTATAATATTGAAAGAAATTTTGACTTTTGAAGATGTAACTGAAGATATCTTGAATTATTATTCTTACTAGTCAAAATGCAGTTGTAACTAATGAAACTGTACTTTAGATATCTAATTACAGAGTCAGATTAAACCTATTTTATGTTCAAAGTCCTGCCACAGAATCAGGCATCATCTTCAGAAACACCAGATTTTCCTGCATCAGATGGAAAAACTCCCTCCAGCCAGAGACTAAAGACTAACGCAGCGGTTTGTGCCTGAAGATGATCCGGGATGAAAACCATCGGACCTGCAGCAGCTGGCACCACATGCCGACTCCTCCGTTGGTCACTTTTCCCGGCAGGATGAAGAACAGATGGTCCGGAGTCAGCCGCAGGACGCAGGTCTTGGTGAGCTTGGAGATGGTGGTCACCACTCCTGAACAGAGGACCAGGCTTTAGTTAGGCCCTTATCCGCAGACACACAGCTGATTTCAGGATCAGGCTAAATGCTGAAACCTGAAGGATTCAGTAGTTCTGTCTGGGAAGATTCTCTGGAATTATTTCACAGATAAAATTCACACAAAGCCACTGCTGTTGGATTTAAATAACAGTTTTATTCATTAAGGTTCACTAACCAACGAACCAGACGACAGACTGAAAAACGGTGAGTTACATTTCTGAACAAAAAATCAACTGAACTTAAATGGATTGAGCAACTGAATCTGTTTCCCACGGAGGTTTATTAGTTAATAATCATATTTAGCAACTGGAAGCATTTTAGTTCAAGATATATATTTTAGAGAATAAACTCGGAGCTGAATCGCGTTTTATTCACCGAAAGTTAATTTTATCACATCTTATCACACTAACGAGTTAACTCATTAGCATTTCATCAAGCTAATATGCTAACAGTTTAAACGGACTCACTAGTGAAGTGGTTCAAACAGGCGATGTCGGTTATTTTCCCCCGAAACTTCATTTTAACCTGAAAATAAAAAGTGTGAGGGATTTTAACTCCACTGGTTTAAATTCAGGAGGGAGTCCGTGTTTAGTCCGTTCCTTAATACAGTTCGACGGAAACAGCGGCTTCTCTCCGCCTGTCAAAGGTTCCTCCTGACAGAAGAAGAATATTAACATTGAGCCGTTGGTGGATTATCTGAAGTTGTTTTCACATATTTTAATATTAAATATCAGCTGCAGTTTAACAATTTAATACATGTTTTCAAAAGCTGCTACAAAATACATTTAAATAATGTAACAGAAAAGCCATACAAATTTAGGCCCTGGCAAAATGAAAGTGTTATATTAATAATGACTTTGTTTTCTCAAATGACAAACTATTTGATACTTAAATCATTTTTGAAGATAATCTATTGTTCCTATGTTGAATTTATACTTAGGGTCATTATTTTTCTCCTTTATCATCATCAATCATTATCATAATTTATCAAAATCACTTTCAGGACCTGCTCTAAAAAGTGTTTGCCATTTTCACAAAAGGGAGATTCTGGAGCAGATAAAACTTTCTTTACTGAGTTTTAGATTTTAACTTTTATGAAGAATGAAATAAAAATATTTAAAATTACCAAAAAGTTTCATTCTCTAACCGAACAAATCCTCATTAACTCACTGAGCTGTTAGCAGCAGCAGATAAAATGACGAGTTTATGGAACATTTGCATTAACATTTAAAATTTTATCAAAACATGCAAAAACTGAATCAGACTGAAGCAAACAGGCAGCCCAGAAACTGTTGAATTGAGCTTTATTTCATATTTCTTGGTTACAAAATGAAAATGAATCAATGAGGAAAAAAAGATCAACTTTACAGTTGAAACAAGTTCCGATCAAAACTTCACTAAAAGAATCTTAGAATTAATCTTAGAAAAATCTTTATTGATCCGAAGAGAAAAACAATATTAGACTCAATGACAGACATGAGAAAATAAACAGGATGTTTCAACTCAGAGTCCCACTCTTTGATGCTTGTCAAAGTTAAAATGATTGATTGTACCTCCTAAAAACTGTAATAAAAAGCTAATGTCTAATTTGGCTCCACTTTCACCGTACAATGTTGATCTTTTCAACATTATACCAAACAGTAGATATAAAGTTTTTCAGATTTAATTTTTTTAAATTTAAATAAATGTATTTAATATCAAAATAAAAAATGGTGTAATACATTACATAAGGAAAAGAAAATAACATAACGGAGCTAACAAAGAAAAAAACCAGAGGGTATGATGCTGCAGAAAGTATCATTAACTGTGTATGCATGTGTGTGAATATGAGTGTGTGAGCAGAAATTGTAATATAAACGACATCATGAATATGTGAAGCAATAAAAAAAATACATAAATAAAAAACAGAGGTAACACTTTATTTGAAGGGGGTTGAATAAGACTTTCATGACACTGTGATGATACAAAGTTAACATTATTCAAAATGTCTTTGTTATGACAACTTGGCATTAACAAAGAAATAATTACTGATATACATTTGTTATAAAAGTATTACTGATTGCACTTTAAAAATTAGGTAACTTTATGTTATTAAAGGTAAAGTTTAAACAGTAATGATTTCCTGGTTAATGTCAAGTTGTCATAACAAAGACATTTTGAATAATGCCAACTTTGTATTAAAAGTGTTATAATTTACCGAATGACGCTTTATGACAACAGTCAAATATTCATGAAGGCTTATTCATGTTCATGACAGGTGTTATGTCATGTTTATGACAGTGTCATGACAGTCTTATTCACCCCCTTCAAATAAAGTGTTACCAAAACAGAAAACAATAAACCAACAAAAACAACACAGAAATCAAAACAACAAAGAAAAATATATACTATATACACAGATAGCCCATTATTTTTTAAACATTTATTTACAATTCTTTCAGAATTTAATTTTCTGATTGTCAAATAATAATAGGTGGGAACTTTAATAAAGTACTAAACCCATCTCTTGATAAGAAAACAAGATCTAATTATAGATCAACCCTGAAATCATCAGAAATAATTAAACAATATATGAGTGAATTTGGCCTTGGTGATAGCCGGAGATGGTTACATCCCGTCTCCAAAGAATTTACTTTTTACTCATCTGTCCATCATTCATATTCACAAATTTATATGTTTCTAATAAGCAAATCCCTAATGGGAAACTTAACAAAAACTAATATACAGTCGATTGTGATCAGTGATCATGCTCCTATATCTATCTCTTTGATTGTAGAAAAACAATCTTTCAGTGAATGGCGCTTTAATCTATCACTATTGGAAGACCAAGAGTTTGACAAATATCTAAAAAAGGAATGGGCATCCTTCCTCGAGATAAATGAGTCACCAAATACTGCGACATCATTGATATGGGAAACAGGGAAAGCTGCATTAAGAGAAAAATAATTGATCAATGCAATACACCTTTTGCC